CATCACCCTTCTGAGTAGCTGGGATTACAGGCATGTGTCACCACACCTAGCTAACTTGTGTTTTTGTTTTTTTTTGGAGATGAAGTCTTGCTTTGTCATCCAGGCTGGAGTGCAGTGGCATGAACTCGGCTCACTGCAACCTCTGCCTCCTGGGTTCAAGCAAGTCTTCTTTCTCAGCCTCTGAGTAGCTGGGATCACAGGATCACAGGTGCACACCGGGCTAATTCTTGTATTTAGTAGACACGGGGTTTCAACATGTTGGCCAGGCTGGTCTGGAACTCCTGACCTCAGGTGATCTGCCTGCCTCAGCCTCCCAAAGTGCTGGGATTACAGGTGTGAGCCACCATGCTCGACCTTAATCTTTCTATTTTTAGTAGAGACAGGGTTTCACTATGTTGGCCAGGCTGGTCTTGAACTCCTGACCTCATGATCTGTTTTAATATAACTCTATTGAGACTTTTTTTTTGAGACAGGGTCTCATTCTGTCACCCAGACTGGAGTGCAGTGGTGCAGTCTCGACTCATTGCAACCTCTGCCTCCTGGGTTCAAGTGATTCTCCTGCCTCAGCCTCCTGAGTAGCTGGGTTTACAGGAGTGTGCCACCACACCTGGCTAATGTTTTGCTTTTTTTGTAGAGATGAGGTTTCACTATTTTGACCAGGCTGGTCTTGAACTCCTGGCCTCAAGTGATTCACCTGCCTCAGCCTCTCAAAGTGCTGGGATTATCAGTGTGATCACCACACCCACTGTAAGCATCAGTTTTGAAATCAGGTTTCCTGGTTACAATCCCAGTAGATTTGCTTCTGGGCAGTAAGACTTCGTTCTACTTCCCACTCTATTCCTGTGCTTCAATTTTCTGAACTGTTAAGTGGGGCTAAAGATTCCAGTTTTTTTTAGATGGAGTTTTACTCTGTTGCCCAGGCTGGAGTGTAATGGTGCCATTTCAGCTCACTGCAACCTCTGCCTCCCAGGTTCAAGTGATTCTCCTGCCACAGTCCTCCCTAGTAGCTGGAATTACAGGTGCCACCATGTCCAGCTAGTTTTTTGTATTTTTTGTAGAGGGGGGTTTCACTATGTTGGCCAGGCTGATCTTGAACTCCAGACCTCATGTGATCCACCAGCCTCAGCCTTCAAAAGTGCTGGGATTACAAGCGGGTACCACCGTGCCCAGCTAAGATCCCACTTTAAATATAAATGGTGACAATTTGAGCATCAGTTCATGCCTATAGCCCAGCACTTCGGGAGGCGAAGGTGGCAGGATCACTTGAGGCCAGGATTTGGAGACCAGCTTGGTCAACATATTAAGACCCAATCTTTACACAGAATTATAAAATGAGCTGGGTGTGGTGGTGCATGCCTGTAGTCCCAGCTACTCAGGAGACTGAGGCAGAAGAATCGCTTGAACCCAGGAATACAAGGTTATAGTGTGCTTTATCATACAGCCATTGTATTCCAGCCTGGGCAACAGAGAGACTGTTTCTAGAACAAAACAAAAGATCATGTAGGTAAAGTAGATTTAGAGAGGGTTGGCATAGAGGGCAGGAAAAAACCTGGAAGCAACCCAAATGTACAATAATAGGGAATTCAATTACTTTTTTTTTTTGAGATGGAGTTTTGCCCTTGCTGTCCAGGCTGGAGTGCAATGGTGTAATCTTGGCTCTCTGCAACCTCCACCTCCCAGGTTCAAGCAAAAGCAATTCTCCTACTCCAGCCTCCCGAGTAGCTGGGATTACAGGCATGTGCCACCACGCCTGGCTAATTTTTTTTTATTTTTAGTGGAGACAGGATTTCTCCATGTTGGTCAGGCTGGTCTCGAACTCCCAACCTCAGGTGATCCACCCACCTCAGCCTCCCAAAGTGCTGGGATTACAGGCATGAGCCACCACACCCAGCCATTTTTTTTTTTTGAGACAGGGTCTGGCTCTGTCACCCAGGCTAGAGTGCAGTGGTTGATCTTAGCTCACTGCAACCTTCACACATCCCCCTATTCCACTGGCTCAAGTGATCCTCCCACCTCAGTCTCCCGAGTAGTTGGCATTACAGGTATGAGCCATCACGCCTGGCTAATTTTCACATTTTAGTAGAGCTGGGGTTTCACTATGTTGGCCAGGCCAGTCTTGAACTCCTGATTTCAAGTGATCTGCTTGCCTCGGCCTCCCAACTTACTGGGATTACAGGTGTGAGCCACTGTGCCTGCCGAATCAGTAATGTTATATATAAAAAGCAATAGTTACAATAAACATTAAAATAGTACTTTCTGATGATGAATATTTGCACATATATACCTTTATCTATGTGTTCTTTTTCCCTAAGGAAAGCAACTCTAGTCTTTCTTCTTTAAAATCAGTTCCAGCTGGGTGCGGTGGCTCATGCCTGGAATACCAACACTTTGGGAGGCCAAGGCAGGCAGATCACTTGAGGCCAGGAGTTCAAGATCATCCTGGCCAACATGGGGAAGCCCCATCTCTACTAAAAATACAAAACTTAGCCAGTCATGGTGGCAGTCACCCAAGAGTTGCTTGAACCCCGGAGGTGGAGATTGCAGTCAGCCAAGATCACACCACTGCACTCCAGCATGGGTGACAAAGTAAGATTCTGTCTCAAAAAAAAAAAAATTAGCTGGTGTGGTGGCATGTGCCTGTAGACGCAGCTACTTGAGAGTCTGAAGTGGATCACTTGAGCCCAGGAGTTGTGCAACCCAGCCAGGGTGACAGAGTAAGATCCCCTGCTTTCAAAAACATGCAAAAGAAAGAACGAACAAATAAAAAGAAAAAAGCTAGGTAAACACAAAGAAAATGAACTCATCATTTCAATCATTCATTCATTATTGCCACTGACATTAGTGGAAATTAACTAAATGCCTACTATATAGCTGTTCTGAAGCAGAGGAGAAGAACCAGACATTTAAAAGTATCTCTGAGGAGATGGAATTACCATTCATTCAAACATCCCTTTCACCATTCATTTCAAACATCCCTTCTGGTGATATTTACAATCAATGTTTCCTGAGCATCTACACGCCAGGGCACTGGGAATGCAGCAGTGAACAAAGACAGAAATTCATGTTGTCATGGGCTGACATTCCAGCAGAGGAGACAACCAATGAGCAGTAACTACAGTTAGCAATGAGCAATAAGTAAAACGCAGACAGAGTTGGGTAACATGTGACAGAGATGTTTGCTGCTTCTTTCCTCTGGGTGAGCAAGGGAATTATTTCACTGAGAGAGTGACATCGGTATAAAGTCCCAGAAAAGTGAGGAAGTGACAGGTGCGGTGGCTCATGCATATAACCCCAGCACTTTGGGAGGCCTAAGTGGTTGGATCATCTGAGGTCAGGAGTTCAAGACCAGCCTGGCCAACATGGCAAAACCCATCTCTACTGAAAATACAAAAGTCAGCCGGGCGTGGTGGTGCATGCCTGTAATCCCAGCTACCCAGGAGGTTTACAAGAACCCGCAAGGTAAAGGTTGCAGCTAGCTGAGATGTTGCCACTGCATTCCAGCCTGGAAAACAAAGTTAGACTCTGTCTCAAAAAAAAAAAATTAAAAAAAAGAGGGGAGGGAAGGAAGGGACCTATAAGTATCCTTAGGGGAAGAGTAAGTTCCAGACGGAGGAACAGCCAATGCAAAGATCGTGAGGTGGGAGCACACCTGAGAGTGTTCAGGAACAGCAAGAAGGTTGTCCAGTGAATAAAGGTCTGGCCCTGCACAGTGGCTCATGCCTGCAATCCCAGCACTTTGGGAAGCTGAGGCAGGAGGATAGCTTGAGCCCAGGAGTTGGAGCAGCCTGGCCAACATGGTGAAACCCTTTCTTTAAAAATAAAAGAAAAAGGCCAGGTGAGGTGGCTCACACGTATAATCCCAGCACTCTGGAAGGCCGGGGGGGTGGATCAACTACAGTCAGGAGTTCAAGACCAGCCTGGCCTATGTGGCGAAATCCTCATCTCTACTAAAAATACAAAAAATTAGCCGGGCATGGTGGTGGATGCCTGCAATTCCAGCTACTCTTGAGGCTGAGGCAGGAGAATCTCTTGAACCCCCGGAGGTGGAGGTTGCAGTAAGCCAAGATCGTGATATGCACTCCAGCCTGGGCAACAAGCGTGAAACTCCATCTCAAAAATAATAATAATAATTAAAAATAAAATAAAGATTCTAAAAATAGGAAGTCTGGTGTTTGTACTTTTAAAAAAATTATTTAAAAATTAAAGATCAAACAGTATTAGGTTCCCAGGCTCAGATAGACCAGCATTAAAAACCCATTACCTTTTTTCTATGATACCAAGTCAGCTATTTCACCCTCTGAATCTCAGTTTCTTTATCTGTAAAACGGGTATTAATGGTATTATACCACAGGGTTGTGTATGCAGTGAGAAAAATGCAAATAAAGCATTTATCCAGGTGCTTAAGAACTATTTCTGGCCATTATTAACCCATTACTCTCTCCCGGCCCCTAACTCCTTTTTGGGGGAAGTTGGGAAATCGGTATCACACGAAAACAGTCTTTTTTCCTTTTTTTTGGAGACGAAGTTTCGCTCTTGTTATTCAGGCTGGAGTGCAATGGCGCAATCTCGGCTCACCGTAACCTCCACCTCCTGGGTTCAAGCAATTCTCCTACCTCAGCCTCCCGAGTATCTGGGACTACAGGCGTGCACCACCATGCTATTTTCAGTAGAGAAGGGGTTTCACCATGTTGACCAGGATGGTCTTGATCTCTTGACATCATGATCCACCCGCCTCTTCAAGTGCTGGGATTATAGGCGTGAGCCACCGCACCAGGCCAACAGTCAATTTCCCCTTTAAAGACTTCAGTGGGCCGGGAGCGCACTTTTTCCAAAATTTCCAGTCCGCGCTTGGCATTTTCTGCCCGAATGGATGCTCTGCACCAATTGGAGGCTGGAGCGGGCTTGGCGAGGAGCCCCGCTCCGCCCCCGCTCTGGTCCTGCCCACTGCCAGTCAGCTTCGTTGCTATGGGGACTGGTGGGCGGTGGGGGTGGGGGGAAGCCCCGGATAATCCTTGGGGGTTCAACATGGCGGCAGCAGTAACGGAGGTGGCGGCCGCGCAAGAGAGCTGAACGAGGTGCGAGGGCGCGGAGTTCCAGGCCGAGCATCTAGGCCATGAGCGACTGCGGCGCCGAGCCGGTAGGATAAGGGTCCAGCCAGGGGCTTGTAGTGGGTCGGGTGCTGGCGGAGGGAAGGCATTTCTGCGAGGAGGGGGCGGGGCCGCAGGGGTCAAAGTTCACTGGTGGAGGGAGGGGTCGCTTCCGAGGGGTCGGGGGTTAACGCTGACTGGAGGGAGGGGTAGTTGAGCTCGGAGATCAAACTAGCAAATGGGGCGTGGCGAAGGGGAATGCAAAGTTTGAAATTCGAATTGGGTGCGCGTTCGAGGGGAATCTGGGCAAGTCTCAAAAAAGGTAAGGTCAAAGTTCATAATTTGAGGGGATGCTGCGCCTACGAGGGTCAGGGGTCACAGCCACGGGGGCGCCAGGTTGGAAGTTTATTTATTTATTTATTTATTTTTGAGACGGAGTTTCGCTCTTGTTACCCAGGCTGGAGTGCAATGGCGCGATCTCGGCTCACTGCAACCTCCGCCTTTTGGGTTCAAGCAATTCTCCTGCCTCAGCCTCCCGAGTAGCTGGGACTACAGGCACGCCAGCTAATTTTAGTATTTTTAGTGGAGACGGGGTTTCACCTTGTTGACCAGGATGGTCTCGATGTCTTGACCTCGAGATCCACCTGCCTCGGCCTCCCAAAGTGCTGGGATTATAGGCGTGAGCCACCGCTGCCAGCGATAGCCAAATTTTTAATGTGGAAAAAGATACAATATAAACTAACAAACCCCATGCAGGGTTCAGTGGGGTGTATTACCATGAGGGGATAAATCTGTTTGTTGGCGCTGCACACCCTGTCAGCGGTGGGCTTCCCGGTGGGCTGCCTTGGTTCTGCGTGTGACCTGCTCGACCTGCAGCACCTTGTGCCCTCCTGAGCAGCCCTGCTCTGGCTGGTGCTCTCAGCAGAACTAACACAACTAATGCCCCACTGTGTCTGCTCCTGGTAGGGTAGTGCAGCTAGGGTGTGTGTGTGTGCATTTCATGCCCAGGACTGGCTGGCAGTCTGCACGGTTGGCCACCAGGGTCAGGTCAGTGCTGCACCAGACGCATGCGTCTCTGATCTTGGGCATGCCTCAGCCGTGGGTGGGTCCTACGCACCTGTTTCTGCGTAATCCACCCTGGGATTTCTGGGCCCCGAATGAGGATTCATCACCTTTCCCGTGTCTGTGGGCTGGTGGGTGGGGCTTTGACCCCACAGGTTGTTCCTCTACTGCCATCAGTGGGGGCTGGGCTGGCTTCCCTCAGGGGCCTTGCTGTTATGGCTGTCTTGCTGCTGGCCGTCTGTTGTGGTGCCACAGTTTCCCTCAATGGATCTCTCTGGGTGGAGTTTTATATTCTCACTCTAGAGCAGGGTTTTGGACTTCTTGCCCCCAGGACCCCTTTATACTCTTTAAAAGTCCTTGTTGAGGCTGGGTGTGGTTGCTTGTGCCTGTAATCCTAGCACTTTGGGAGGCCAAGGTGGGAAGATCGCTTGAGGCTAGGAGTTCAAGACCAGCCTGAGCAACATAGGGAGACCCCATCTGTAGAAAAAAGTGCCTGTACTCCCAGTTGTTCAGGAGTCTAAGGTGGGACGATTGCCTGAACCCAGGAGTTGAGGCTGCAGTGAGCTCTGCACCACTCACTCCCAGTCTCTGTGAGTAAGGCTCTGTGAAAAGAAAAATGTTCTCATTGAGTTTGCATGAGTTGAGCTATTCATCTTTTTCGAAGTTAAATTTCAGAATGTAAAACAACTTCAAAGAATTAAAAACCCAGTGTATCTTAACATAAAAAAAATAAAATAAAATGTTTTAAATTAAAAAAAACCCTATTATCTTCCAGAGTAAAATAAGTAAAGAGAGTGGCTATAGTTTTTGCCAATCTCAAGAGCTAGATTCTATTAGCTTCTGTGTTCATCCTGTTGTAATTTTACAGGTCAGGTGGCTTCCACAAAGCTTTGGCACATGGCACCTTTGTGTTACTGTAGAGAGAGTGCTAACCTTGTGGTCGCAGACCACACTTTGGTCGGCTCCCTGAGTGGCCTCTCTTTGCCTCTTCTGGGAAGGCCTTTATCCCAGGAGCACCATCGTGGAACTAGCTGGAAGACGAGCATCCTTTCAGCCACTTTCTGTTGGTCAGGGAGTCATAGAGCCACCTGGATCTGGGGGTGGGAATGGGTGGGAGTGGACAGCCTGCCTCTGGATGGAAGGGGGCTCCAGCCAGCCCTGGTCTTCCTGTCTCCTCCAGGAGGCCCTGGCTGGCCACCCCAGAAACCCAGACCTTTTCTCTCTTTCCCTAGCTTCTGGGCACTGTGCTGCCTTCCTCTTCCTGCCTTTTAGTTTACTTCCCAGGGCATGCAGGCTGGCACCACTGTGGGCCATGGGGTTGTACAGGTGGGGCGGGTGCCATCTCTGGGTGCCATAGAGGGCCACTGAGGCAGAGCCAACACTGGACATCCCGCGTTTCCCTTGCTGAGCCTTCATGGCACCTGCTCAGGTGAGTGTCACCCCAGGACTCACCAATGCCTGGGACTTACCAAGTAGCCAGGTGGTCCTAGCAAAAAAGAAAGGCGGAGATTGTGTAAAACAGGCTACGAGCAGATAAGCTGGTCCTATGTGGCTGCGTCCACAGTGTTTTAAGAAGCTGAGGTTGGTTGGTTTTTGCCCTTTCTCATGTTTGGTCAGGCTTCTCTGCATAGGCACTGCACGCCCCTTCACCAGATGGCTCTCTGCACCGACAGTGGTCTCATCAGCCCTGGGTGGGTTCCTTGGCTGCTCAGCAAGACAGACCTCTTAGGGCTTTACAAGTACCATACTCTGACTCAGTGAATGAGACTTCAGAGCATGGGCCCAGTGGTCCCCAACAGGGAGCGAAGACTGCATGGGAGGTGAGATGTACTGAGTAGGGTCTCTGGTCCCACAGTGTGGGCGGAGGGAACCGCAGGCAGGGACAGTGGAACTCTTTCTGTTACTGCAGCTCCCTCTGGGTTGGTGCTTTGACAACAGTGGGCAGCACTGGGGAGTGGTGCTGAGGGTGGAGCTGATCTGCACCTGCCTCTGGCCCCCCAGGACCTGGCCTCAGGTTGTTGTGCTCAGTGTTCACTCATCTGCCCAGGACCCATTGGACCCTGCTGGCATCCTGTGTGCTTTGTGTTGGGGGGACCTTAGAAAGAAGGACACGTCCCTGCTCACCTGGGACTTGGAGTTACGTGCCCATTGTAGAGACACAAAAACAGAAAAATAAAGAAAATCAAAATCAAATCCTCCTTCCACCCGGAGACAGTCTGTACTTGACATTAAAACCAGCCTCACTCCAAAGTGGGACCCTTGCCACCCAGACCCAGTTGTCCAGAGCTATCGGTGGATGCCTAACACATGTGTTCCACTGCTAGTGGGGTTGGGATGTTCCCGGGCTGTGTGAGTCTCTGTGAAGGGAGTGTGGGGCCAGTGCTGGTGGTTTCCACAGGTCAGTGCCTGCATTGCACATGGCCTTGCCTGCCACTCACCATGCGTCTTTTCTGAAGAAGATGTTCGTCACATTTATAAGCCGAGAGCAGTGCCCTGCTTAGTCCACATTTCCTCTGGGAGGGCTGGTGTGACCCACACTTCTGTGCACGGTGGGCTGTGCAATCATCTGCTCAGTCTTTGCCTATTTTGTGTTGAATTGATCCTGTGTTTTCTTATGACTGGCATGCGTTCTCTTTATTTTAAGGATATTAATCTTGAGTGTTAAGATTTTTGAGCTTGTTCTTAGAGACAGGTAAAAGCTCAGGTGGAAACTATGGGAAGTGCTGGAGCCAGAGTCTCCACAAGTCCCCTGGGTCACAGAGGGGCAGAGAACAGGTGCACCAGGAGCCAGACCAGAGGGCCAGGGAGTGCCGGGGGCTGGGGAAGCTGGGGGCCAGGGGGCAGCCTGGGAGGGCGGGTGCCAGGAAGCCCTGGGCCCACTCCTGCTCTTGGCGGGGCCTGAGGGCTGCTTTTCTTTCCACCATTCCCTACCTTCTTTTTGGAGCTGCATGCTGGTTAGCTTCTCCATCAGGAAGAAATCCAGACCACACTGACGCTCAGCAACACTGACCTGTTCAGGAACTTGGCGTGGCCTGGTGCAGATTGGGAGCACATTTGGTCACAGGCTCCACAGAACATAGGGCAGTGGGCACAGGGCCACGCAGGAGGCTTAGGACAATGTTTCTCAAGGTCTGTCAAGAACCACTAGTCCTCCTGGACAACCAGGGCAATTTGGGAAGCTCCAGATGAAGTCTGAGACCTCTTGGAAGCTCAGCGGACAGCAGTGGTTACCGGCTCCAAGCAAGGGAACTGTGGTTGACTGTGTGACCTGTTGTTTCCACTCCCTGGCTGTTGCCACCCACCATTCCTACTCCTGTCGTCTGCCCTCATCCCACTCTTAGCTGTTGGAGGTGATGGTGGAACAGGGAAGCATCCAAAAGAACCTAAAGCCTCAGATGGTCCACAGCCACCCCCAGTGCTGGGATGTAGGCCTGGATGTCTGCCTGGCTCTGCTCCAGAAGTGATTTCACTTCCCTGCATGGGGTGTCAGGTGTTTTTGCACTCAGTGATGCTCTTTTCTTACCCTGGACCAAGCATGGTGGCTGAGAGCCACGGAGGCTCTGTGACGTGTGCCCTGAGGCAGCCTGCGCTGGTGGGCAGCCGTGTGGTGGGGTGCAGTAGAGGCCTGCTGCTTCTTCGGGAGTGCAGTGGGCATCTTCATTTCCCAGAGGTGGCCATCTCTCCCTCAGTGACAGCAGTGTCCCTTCATTTCACACATTTCTTGGAGATGGACATCTCTCCCTCTGTGACAGTAGCGTTTCTGCTGAATGGTTTCCTGTGTCCTCCTTGCCTTCCTAAATGTGTAACAAATGCTTCTGCTTCAGGGTGGGCTTCATTTTGTCTCCAGACCCACATGTAGCCTCTGAGTACCTGGCTTGCCCAGGGCAGGGAGCAGGTGCTGGAGGTCTGACCACCCAGGGTGTGCCTCTGCCTGGCCAGCCTGCTGCCTCATGGACGCCTGGATGCAGAGCTTCCTGAGATGAGCTCT